TGTACGTGATTTCTCCGTTGCATTTGGCACACATTTCATGGGAATTAAGAGAATTTTTTTTGATGGTGGTGTGATCAGGATTTCTTTTATATTTACAGTTAAACGTATAATATGTAGCTTTATAATAGTACGTATACACTATTCGATATCTAGTGTATTTAGGCCTCAGAAATAGAGTGATTTAACTATAGGACAAATTAACTTCACTGTTATCTACTTCAGTTTTAGTATTACCCTTTGTTTGTACAAGTTCAGTGGTCTAACGCTAATTATATCACTTATACATGATACTGGGGCTATATTTAAGTCAGCTTATTATCAACAATCTACAAACATTTCCCCTTGGATTCAATTTATTTCGATAAAAAGAGCTTAATGCAAATGTGAGAAATGATAAAATTATGAAAAACAGTCAGTTTTACACATGCCATTCTATATATGGAATCCGTAGTATAGGTTTTATGTATGTTAACAAGAAATGTGCATTTCTTCCCAAGGTCTTTAAATATATGTTCAAGTTCAAGTTCAATTTGCGTATTTAAGTGTCACATATCACAATTACATTTATGTTCATTAATACATATAAAATACTTGTACAAAATATAAATCAATTCCATTGTTACATATAAAATACTTGCAGTTGGCTGTTTCCTAGAACTTAAAATAGTTTGTTTAACATAAAAAAAACCACCCACTTGTAATGGGGATCAATATCGACATTAGATTATTGTGAGACTACCCTTCTTATTATTATTAACATGTAGGTTGCAGTGACTCAAAGTGCACTACCTTAGGGTTGGGGAGAGCCCTACCAGCGAAGACAGGTCGCTCTGCGCCACTGCAATCATACGATGTAACTTTAAAAATATTTTTTTTTTAATTTTTTTTTTATTTATCAGTTTAAAAAAAAGGAATAACAGGTTAAAAGTAATTGAGAAATCGATTGGCTCCAAGCGGTTGGGGAGAGCTCTACCGGCGAGGGCTTCTCGAGGTCCCTTCTTAAGGTTACATTTAATAGTTTAAAACACGGTTAAAAGGGCAAAATTTTAGTATTGATCAATAATTAACAAATAAAATAATATTGTAGCCTAGTTTGAAGTTAAATATGTTTTATCACTTTTAGCACCTTGATATCTCTCTTTCCTTAAACAGCTATTTTGAAAATTAGAGGCCTTCCAGCTACCATACGGTTCGATCAGTAAGTCAATGAAAATGTTTTTGAATCGTAATTACAATAGTTATGTTGTAATAACGACATGCACATGGTGCGACTTTTCGTTAAGTGCAATGAAAACAGAACATTACACGAAATGGTATGCTACAACTGTTTTTCGGAAATTTTACCGTTATAAATAAATTTCGTCAAACATAGATAAAAAATGAAGCAATAAAAGATATAATTTATTGAGGACAAATACATGTTTAGACATGTGCTAATCTTCCACATGGTCTTCAAAAAAATGAAAGAACCAAGGGACATTATATCGAGTTTTGAAGTTTTTTCGTACAATGCGACACAATTGTTTTAACACTGAGAGTGCAGATGAACGGTATATTTGAGTGAATGGATACTATGTAAACTAAATACATTTTTGAGACAAATACATAGATATTTGACTAAAGTATAACTTTTCATATCAAATACAAAATACATAAACACAAATAAAATCATTCTACAAAATAATAATGAGAGACTGCTTTAACAAGTATATCACAAACTTCTTAATACTCATAAATATTCTTTTTCAATAAGTATTGTATTTGTGTTTAATATACATGTATTTTAATCTGCAAATGTCTTTCATGTAGTTCATGTGTATTTTTCTGTGATATCTGTAAATATATTGATGCAGGGCCATATTGTAAGTTAGACATGTCTCAATATGTATCCCTGGATAAATAAAAGATATTATTATTAAATAAGTGCTTACTAACGTGTGTTATGCACGTGCATTGCTTGCTTTAGTTCCCTTATGAAGAGACAATGAACTATCCTTCGTACAATAGCTCTCAAGGCTTTGGCAATTGACCATAATTGTTATATATATATATATGGGAATTAATAACAAATTTAGCATTTTGAAAACACTCGTTATATCGTGATATCCTAGTATAAGGGACAATGTCTCCCATCCTTCATGCAATGATTGTTACACATAATAATTATCAACACAAATTCTCCTTATTCCCGTTTCCGAACGTAATGAAGCTACTCAACAATCAACCGGAGTCGTCAAACCTGTATCTCCCGCGGCGGCGCTATTGAATGCGTAACGTCCAATCCAAATGGAAAATTCTGTAGCTCGTAGTTGAAACGTGAATTGATCGTCTATTAATATTGCTGCATCACAACTACATTTGTAACAGTAATCCACACCATGGAGGTATATAAGTTACAGCACTACTCTCAAAGAGGAGTCCACCTTTGTATTTTACGTTTTCTAGCCCTAAAGCGCTTTAAGCAAAATATTCTTACCAGACGATACCTAGGCATTTAAGACAATTTATAATGTTTGATTTGTCATTGTTAATTGACATGTAATTAGGGCTGCATCAGATTTGTTAAGCACTCAGTTATATGCGTAAGACTTCCTCAGACTTCACTTGTAGTGCAACAACGTCCCTGTAATGAAAAGCAGAAAGTTGTCTTCCCCGATAGCTACTCATGTATGAAATTAAGTAACTTAAGTCACCAAGTTATCCTTAAAAAGTTAATTACAAGGAGCAACATGTTGAAGTCCAGTTTAACTCCACATGAAAAAGTCGTTTTGCTTTTTATCTATTCCGGTTATAAAATAAAGTATCGCATTTATTCAGGGTATCAGATCATCCATCGATTTCGGGGAATTTTGGATTAGATTGTGTAAAGGTCCATTATCAGCTACATGAACAATGTCATTGTCTGCTGAAGTAACCGACTTGTTATTTATATTAATGATGCAAACATTCGGTAAAGGTTAACTAACTTTTGTTTTACACTGACAACACACCATTTTAATTCAATAGGAGTTGTAACTTATAAATTACAAGTGATAGAAACCCGCGAAGACGCAACCGTCGTATTGTATAGTTGGTAGTGAGCTGGCCTCGTTACCACAAGGTCGTAGTTTTGGATTCCGAAGACGGTGTGGTATGGTTATATCACTAAGATTTACTCTTGTTGCTATACATCACCTGTCTAGAATGTAGCATAATATAATCAGGGTTGAGTATTAAGGTTCCTGTGGTGTATCATCAAGTGATAGGCGCTACACATAGGTCGTTGGTTATACCATATAACCATAACCATATAAACCACAATACACACATACTTACAAAAATACACCCTCACACTTATCGAGGACCTCAATGGAATCACAAGGAACAATGTGTTTCTCTTAGACTGCTTATACACTCTTACCATTGTACTCACCCTCGAAATTCCAGGGGCTATACGCTCACTCACGTTCACTCCACCCCCGGATTATGTTATGACAAAACCGAAGGTACAATTTAAGCAAAGCGAAGCCCCTGACATTTTGAGGTGGAATTTTACTTAACGTACATGTTTATATTTCTAAACGTTTTCTTCAGGTTGGTAAGTATGGATTATGAGACATTATTTTTACACAACCAATAACATTTTCTAGTACGATATGTACACTGTCACCTTCATCAGACAAATTACCAGTGAAGTGTATGCACACAAAGGTGTAAAATGTGTACGAGTTGTCCATAAAATCGATGTCGATTTCGGCTACGCTGGAAACGTATGTACAAAAGTTGTTATATATGTACCGAAATGACTCAATTCAGCTACGCTTTGTTGACACTTTGTCATAGATGTGCGAGAGTCTCTGAGCCCCCTCGTCTCGGTTTAGAACTGGCCCACTGCGGCGTATCCAGATGGATTCTTTTATCTGCCACTTGAACAGATTGCTCTCTCTGTTTTAAACTCTGTACGTGTTTGTAATTTTAAATGATAAGCCGTTTTTGAATTGTTTACTTGAAATTAGATATTCAAGTTTTATTTTATAAATCATATTGGTAAATAACTTCTACACATTCTGTATTTAACGTTAAAGATTTCATGGTGTATGTTAACACACGATAAATAAATCATGCTTGTACAATATAAAATAGTAGTTTTTAGGCAAACAGGAACGATTGATATGCACCATATACAATACATAAGTTTTTTTTCTTATCAGTTATATCAACTGAAACTGTATGCTATACGTATATAAGTTGCTTTTTATAAATTATATTAGCTGAATTTGTACCATAAACAGCATATTATTGTTCAATTTAAGTAATGATATCAAGTTAATGTTATATGTAGATGTACATGTATATAACTAGAGGGAAATATGTATTTCTTTTGTGCTTCCACCTCAATTTTCGAATATTGTGTATCAAACAAGCGTATTAAGGTATTTAGTTGGAGAGATTTTGACGCGGTTTTTGGCACCGCCGTGACGAGTTGTGGGGAAAGCAACGTGTCTATATTCTTTGTGTGTCAAACATGACAGGCGGTTTATTTTTGGAGAATCGAGGTGTATTTCTGGCCCGGTATTACTATAAGATATTAGTGTCAACTATACGATGCATCATATCATTCTACAACTTGGCAGATTCCTATTCATAACGGAACGAGTACAATGTAGCAGCTTTGTCGAGAAGGATACTGGCAGGTGCCCTGTGACCTGAACCACAGGCTTTCGTAAGCTTTATGAATCACGATGTTGAATGGTTCAGACAGCCGACGTAAAGTTCACTCTAAAACAACGAATGATATTAACGGTTTTCTAGTAACAGACGATGTTCTATATAAAACGACTAAAAAGACGTTTTAGCGGGTTGTTTATATCAATTAGCCTCGGTCAGCCCATGACTCAAGCACAAACCCCAGTAGCCGCGGCTTTTGAAGATGTTATTAGTGTTTGTAAACAAGAGAAGAGCGGAATGCTACACCGCAGTATAGACCTAGTTTGTCCAGATGTGCCAGTGTGCAAGTTTTATGTACTCGAAAACCGGGTGTTAAACCATGCGCGTGAATGGCGCGTGGATGGCTTTCACATTCCTGGTATGACCTCCTGCCTGGCTTTGGAGAGTTAATTGATCGCACTGTATTGGAATTGTTTAAACTATAATGTCAAAGATGATAGGCATTCCGAGGCCAGCTGCCTTCAGGGAACTTCTCTCTCTGGGGCCGTGTATTATATATAGTTATAGCGGGCTAAACAGCCGCTGCAGTATTGAACGTGCATAGCAGAGTACACGTGTGTGCATGCATGGTACGCCAGATTGGGAGAGATTTGGCTCAAGAATTTGACGAAGTTCAAGCCAAAACTTAAAACTGATCTGGTTCCGTGATACAGAATGGTGGTTACCAATGATCTCTACGGAGAGGAAGAAAGGGATATTCTGATTTTATAGAATGACTTCGGGTTATTAGCTAAAAAGGGGAACATTTCCTTGATTTTACTTCCAGGTTCATGTAAGTGCGCAATCGATAAGGAAGTTTGTTTTACAAAGATGGGACAAAAAGTGGGGAAGAAAGGTGTGGATAAAGGCCTGGAGCATTACAAGGAGCAGCGGTTTGAGGAAGCTGCTTTTGAGTTCCACAACGTTTTAAAAAAGACACAAAAAACGGAAAAATCTCCGGACAAATTTGTTATATATGGATATTTATGTACAATTTATTACGATACTGGAAAATATCGCGACATTTTACGATACGCAGACCATCAGATTGACATAGCCAATAGTTTGAAAGATTCTTGCATGAAAGCAGAGGCATTCTTTAACCTTGCTCGTGGAAATGAGCGACTGTCGCTCTTTGACAAAGCTGTTTTATTTTGCAAGGAAAGTATAACGGTCAACTCCAAACGTTCCAAAATTCTTGGCTACTCTCATTTATGTCTAGGAAATGCTTATTTCGGATTGAGTGATTTTTGTAATTGCTGTAAGAACGTTGATCTCAGTTTGGCATTCGCACGACAGACCAAGGACAAACGTCTTGACATATTGGCCAACGTCAGTTTTGGTATTCTGTTCACGAATCTCAGGGACTATGACACCGCTCTCTACTACTTCGAGCGTGCCCTGGACACTTTACACGGTCAGAATGACACGGACAATTTGGACCAATATCAGCGCCTCCTGGAGGTGTGTCTCGCTGTCCCTTACTTCCGCAAGGGGAGACTAAACGACGCTATGGAATCTTGTGAGGTAGGCCATCATCGATCATAAAATAAAACGTAAGGTGTGTGTTATTTGTACAGTATTGTTAACTGTTTATATAACGTATCTATAAATACAATTAAGTGGCGATTAAAATTAAACTTTCTAAAAGTTATCAGTGTAAACTTGAAAAGTGATGGATTGTAATAAGAGGTTTCTAATACCAACTGCTGCGAAAACATGCTTTTAATCAGCTTACGGTTCTGTTGCATTACGTCAAATCAAAATTCCTCGACGTGTTATAGATATGAATATCTACGCCAGCTTTGCATAAAAAACGCTACATGACAGTGATATGTCCAATATTTCGATATTTATCCACGTATTCCTCTAAGAAAAAACGTACTTCTGAAAAATATACAATTATACAGTGAGTGTTCATGTAAGTAATTAAAAAAAAAATCAAAAAAAAAAAAAAAATCAATAATAATAAACTAAATGATATCCCACATCTGTAGTACGTTACATCTTTATAAGTCTAGCCAGCAGTAAGTTTGTCTGATTACCGTATACGTATTTCTGGATTTATGTCATAGTGTGTACGTAAATATAAACGCTGCTGTGCAACCATATCATTTATCCCTACAGCGAATACTATACAGACATACCGACCGTTTAACAATCCCCAAGATAAACTCTCACATAACCCTCGGGTTATCTGTCCAGCTCACGGCATTTACCGTTTTTACAGGATGCGAATATCTCTCTGAGGTAGAGATAGAGTCTCCAGCGTTATAAGTGGTCGTTTCACACCAATAAATCTTCCCCGTTAAAAGAATGGTCAGTTAGATGATAGAAACCTTGTTAAGTTTCGCAAAATTGGGGAAATGTCAATACTTTGTCATTCTTCTTACGAAGATATGACAGAAGAAAGACATTGATATGTGAATACGAAAATAACGTTTGGTTGTTTGAGATATTTATACCTGTACCTGAGATCTCTATAACAAGGAGACATCATTAACGACTCATTACGCACGTGTTTTCTATCAATGATACGCATGTCCCATGTTTACACAACTTTTTTCGATAATCATCGGCTTGTACATTTGCTATTGTTCAGAACCCAACACAATTATTTTCAGTCACGTAGTTGCGTATTCGTTTCGTAAATACAATTTTATGACAATGAAACCTGTTTACACCGAACTATTCCGGAATCGTTTGTTTTCGTTCGGAATAGGCAGGATTCCATATCGCATAGATATATACTTAGTAAGGAACCGGATGAATATATGCTTTTGGATCCCTATTATTGTGCATAACACACAGGGACTTGACACATTCCTATGACCCAGAATGAAAAATATTACCCCATGGTCCGACCCCCAGACCACTTATTGGAGTATCGGATCTACTTACGAGTTGGGTGTTTTCAATGTTCGCCTTACATAATTCAGGATTATTCAGTGGTAGATTTTGACAGGGTCTACATTGTATACAGACAGTAATCACTGTGCTTATTCTCCGTACTTCTGTTGTATACGTCCACGCTAAAAACACATCTAGAATATGAAACTGTAAACAAATAGAAAACTGGGTTTACAAATGAATGTTTTAAGGCTGTGTGTAGAGGGGAGAGTGTGATATATGCGATCTAAGTGAGGGAACTCCCTGCTGTTACTGGTAATCAATGCCTGCTTTCTTATCAACAACATCTCACATTTACTCGGAGAATTTCACCAATGTTTATTTGACCTACATTCAAAATTTGAAATACATGTAGGGCACACAACACTGTTTGACACAGAAGCTGTCATTCTCTCAGGAGGAAAAAACATTTGTAATTAGATTGGTCAAGTAGGAGTTACTTACGGACAGAAGTGGTCGTTTAATTATTCCAAAAACTCATATGTCTGCTATCTGAGTATATAGAGTGATTTTTTTCCATAATTATAAATAAAAGACGATGACGTCCGTTTGCAGAGTATCTTAACAAAATACTTTGTTTTTCTTGAATATTTTCAAATTTCAATATTCCACTCACTTGTTGCCTTAAAAGGTTTCCCAGAAGAAGTTTAATTTTTTACCCAAGAATTGTTTTTATTGACATAAACTTCAAATTCGCACTGTTTCAGGTTTTGAGAATTGAGAACGTTGTTAGGGATTAAAGTAGAGTGTTAAAGATACAGAATGTTGGTGCGTGTTTTATTCGTTCTCTCGTTCAATAACAAACCAGCGAAAATAAAACGGGGAAGAAAACATCTTTTTTTTTTACAGTAGATATATAGATCCTAATGATTGATTTACAGTATTGTCATTGTCGTAGTTTAATAAAGATATGCAATCTTGCGCTGTCTTGATTTCACGAATTGAATTGGTCTGCTTTAACCGAACGTTCCGCTGCATGAAACTCGCATATTCCAATGTCACTGTGAAAATCGCTAAAATTTTCATGCAACGTTCTAGCAAAATTCAGTCGTTGGTAGTTTATAATCTACACACTAGTTAGCTGTTTCGACTTAAGGCACTGATTAGTTAATGTAGTTATTACGACCTAACGCACTTGTAAGCTAGTTTAGTTTAATGAACCGACTAAACTGGCAAATTAACTGAACTTTTACGACTGAGTATATATAATAGCTATTCGTGAAGACTTACGAAACTGGTTGGCTTGCTACTACGTCGTAAGCCATAAGTAAGCACGGTTAGTAAGGAATAAGATAGCTGACGTAAACTAAATGTACGTAGCTGTTACGCCAACGTTACGACTTAAGACAGTGGTAAGCTTTTTAGCTCAATGTAATTAAGCTGCTACGACTTTGGGACTCTGACAGTTTATTACCTGTTACGACGTGATTATCTAACTAAAATACTTCGACTGAAGGCATTGGTTAGTCAACTTATTTATTACGACCAAATAAGATACTGATTCGCTAACTCAGCCCTTTCTTTACATATGTCAAATAAGATAAAATACATTTATTCAAAAGACGCAAATGACCCTGGTCGGATTGTGACTTTTATAACTAATTGTTAAGATGCTACGTTAAATTTTGCTCAATTAAAATAACATCTCTTTGTTTTTTTGGTTTCTTCAGTTTTAGGAATTCGCCCACAGGGTTAAGTTATTTGGCTGTTAACACTAGCTATATATATACATGTATAGCTGACTCATTTTTAACCGAATTACATGGTAAGCAAGTCACATGTTATTAAACTACTCTTAACTGACCGTTTATATTTTAGTAAAAAGCTGTTAGGGTTCAAACTTGGTTTAATAACTGTTTCGTGCTCATAAATAATCAAAAACTTTCGTTTTTCTTTCTTGTTGAGATTCATGATAAATAGCGGTCATATTTTTGCAAAGACAAACGTTAGCTAAATGGATAGTTACTGCTACTCAGGAACCCTCTAAAACCTAAATTATAATACCGGGCTCGGCTGCGGATTGTAACTCCGGCCATTTCTCTGAATAACCATAATTAAGAATCCTGGACCGGAGAGCTACACGTGAAACAACAGACGAAGTATATATGAGGAGAAATTAATTTGATGAATGATGACATTATTGACAGAAATTCATTAAAATACCACTGATACCAGCATGCGAGCGATAACGAGGGGATATATATCTCAAACACTCTTTATTAATCCGTTCTGGGCATGGTATGCGGCGTCTGACGTAACCATACATTCTCAGGTGTCGGTACGGATTCGCACAAATGTGCGCGTGAGCGATGAGGGCCATTACAGGGCTAGAGGCCACGCCCGTCTACAGCCATAGGTCTTTACGCGTGAAATTACACGTAATGCTTTTTGCTTGGGTTTGTTCTTGATGTAAAAAAATACCCACTTGAGATTATCATCTTTAGTGAAAGCTTAAGAAGAAAGTACAGCGGTTAAAGTACACGTATAAGCGAAACTACAGATGTCAAGCAATGAGGAAAGGGTCATTCATCATTATATGGAATCGAAATATTTTTGAAATGTTGGCCAAAACATGGGACAATGTTGTACTGTATAGCGGTTATATTTCGTATATTTCGCGGGGGTTTTAATTTCGCTATGTTCGCGCTTTGACTAATATCCGCGAATTCTAAACACCAGCGAAATTATCGAAAATGTTAACCACTTTTACAGACCTTATCACAGCATGTTGAACATACTTATAACCCAACGCTGTTATGCAAGCTTAAATGAACTCAAATCATATTATCACCGGACAACTGGGCAGTCCATGTAAAAACAACACTTACATTTAAGTGACCACAACATATTTATGTGTACACAACTCATGGGATTCGGGTGCGAAGCGAAATTTAACCCTCACGAATATGTATTGAATAAAACCGCGAAATATTGACCCCGCGAATTTAAAGCGCTATACAGTATTCACATCCATAACATATATAAAGTTGTCTTTTTATATTTTTTTATCTAAAAAATTAATAGCACATTGGTACAATGGAAAACGAGAGAGTAATTTAGCAGTAGCATATACATGTACCACATTTGCATAAGGTGTTACATGTCTGACCCAGTAGTGCCTCCATTCTAATCGAACTGCATCTCATGACTGATACGGAAGTCGGAGTAAGCAGCACTTTCTGGATAGCGTACATCTTACCCTTGACATCATTAAAATCAAAATTAGCATATAATTAGACTTGTCATATGAAATGTACGTTTCACGAACGAGCAGTAATGTAAATGTACTCTGCAACGTACTGTTGAAATCTGAACAGTTCCTTTGTGGAAGCAGATATACGCGCCCGAACACAAAATGCCAGCGGTACGTGGTAATAGGGCCCAGCGGTATGACTCGGCGCTAAGAATAGGTTACCATAATTAGAAACACCTCTTAAATAATTGAGATAAGTACACTTCACACGAGTGAAAATCTTTAATTAACAAAAGATACAAATATCCATATTATCTCTGGTAACTTTGGTATCCGTTCGTTCTTGGGTATGGATTACTATAATATAAACCATGAACGGTACAGCATATCTCAAAAATGTTCCATTGTTAATTAGCGCGCTTACAGTTGCTTAAAACACAATCAGCATTGTATGCGTCACTAACGAAATTTCAAAAATAAGGGTTGTTACCATATATTATCTTTGTTTCTTATATTTTCAGCTATAAAAGTGTTAAGGTTATATATAGGTGAATGGCTGTATACCCGGTTTTTAAGTTAAGAGTTTGTATTTCTGAATGTTTCAAATGAATATTGTGCGTGAATTTCTTCAGAACCCTTGATCATTTTAACATTGACGTTAATTTGAAGAATTAACATATCAAAGATATAGCAAAAGAGGATAATTAAATTCAAAATATTTCTTTTGATTTTGAAACCATCGCGAATCAATCAACCAGGAATAACAAAGTTATAGCAATATGTTTCCTCGGTGATGAGCTTGGGATGGACACCAGATTGCATTTACTTAAAAACACGGTAACAACTCATTTGCTAAAGACCTAAAAGTGAAGGTATCTATGGAAACACTGATGTGATATATATTGATTTTTAGATATAATTGTCCTACATCCTCATTGGTTAAATCATAATCACATGGCAGTCGGTAGTTTGTGATATTAACTTAGTGTTACTATTTTTAGAAACATCAGGTTAGTATTCACTTTATGACGTCACTTCAATTGTTTCATACGTTCCGTTTTGTTTAATGATAAAAGCATAATATTTGCATTTCTAATATACATTGTAACTATAAGGACGTTTATATCGGTGAATACATGTTTTATGTACATGCAAAGTCGTATTAACTTTGATTTCGCCTCGGACGATATCGCTTCCTCAGGTCCATATAACAACATATCAATCAAAAGAAAAGTTCATTGATAATTGTTACATACATGATGAATGTTACCATAGTTCTATAGCCGAATCGACAAATGGAAACAATAAAATGTTCCGAACAAACGTTTGTTGTTTTGCTTACCATTGTTGCTCGGTTAGATGTTTTTGTGAAGAAAATTATATCAATTTAGGGACAATGCAGGATATAAACTGTGTAAAAAATGCAGCATTAAACATATACGTGGTCATCTAACGTATCAGCTTGAACTTGTTTAAAGACTAATGAGGAAAAAATGAAATAAAACAGACGTTTTATATTATAAACAAAAATTGTAAAAATCCGACATGATAAAAGTTCTGGAAATACTTCATCATATTTATAATAAAGGTCGACGATGACGATAAAGAAGTAAACGCCTGTTTGTGTTTGAGTTCCAACTATGACACGTTCACGCCCTCGCGCCAGGCATTCTTTAAGTAACACCATAACACACAGATATGTGGCACGTGACACGTTGTCTGATGTTGTATAATATTTCTATATATAAATATCACGCCCTTAATACAAATCTAAATTGTTACCACGTGGATGGATCTCTGATGTCACGTTGTGGTATAAGAAAGTGGCCTTTATTAAAAAAAAAAAGTAAAATTAATGAAAAGAAATAAATTTGTTTTCGTATGTATGTATGCACGATTGTGTAAGAGATATGCCTGGATTTTGTCCCATGCTGATTATAACTACATTACAAACTACATGTATAAGGTGTTATGTGTGTACCAATGTATTACGTTTTCTGCAAACGTCAGCACACAGAGCCAGTTACCCTACGTGTATCATAATAATGTCCGGAGGAGGTCTAACCAAAGAACACTTAACAAGTATGATAGAAATTATTGTATTCGCGTCTTATATGTTTTATGTACATCTTAATAGCAGTCTTGAACATTTATTTATTAATGACGAGAGCTGTATCAATTTTACATTCGAATATTTCTGCTTCGTTCTCAAACACACTGAACTGATATTTCAGTAAGTAATCCTTCGTATCATACACTAATTTTCCCGTGTTGTGATAAGACCATGCTGATAGTTTAATACAACAGTGTTTATCTATTCTGTCCCTATATATGTGGTGATATATACATTGATATCCTATTTTACACTTTTTATATGTGATGAAACCATTTTCGTTAAATCTCTTCCATTTAGGAGGAATGTGGTGACAATGTTGATGATGCTGATTGTGGCTTTATTAAATAAAGAAATAATTGTACAAATTATTTGACTTAGTACAATGGAAGTCGACTGCGAATTTAAATAATTAACATTTTTCTATTATCAGGTGGCATTTGATATAGCTAGAGTAAGCCACCCTAAGTTGCTATTCGCTTTAGAAGGCATATAAACAAGTCATAAAATAAGTAATTCAATGAAAATTTCGTATGAGTTGCCTTATCAGACGTTAAACGATCGTCCTAACCCGCCTGGCTAAATATCAAGGGGGCGCGTTATGTACTCTGTGTTTTGGTGGGACCGTGCTTCCAACGCCCCCCCCCCCCCCCCCCCCCNCACATTACTGTTAAAGTACAGACACTGAAACACCCACTCTAGACCATTATGTGCTCAACTTTGTTAATGGAGTTTTCTGGACAGGAGAGAAAAGACTCCGCTGAAAATCTATGCTACGATGATATCGGGAATAGAACGTCGGCTGTCTCTGTGGAAGGTTGGAATTGTTGACTATTTGGCCCTAACCTGTCAATAAATAATTCATCAATAGGTGTTTATGATAATTGTAAGCACTAACATGAAGTCCTGATTTAAAAAACAAAGACCCCTGGTCCCCAAACAGTTTCTCTACATATAATACGTAGCGGTTGTTTCATGAATGAAAATATCACATTAAGTAATTAACAATGAAAAAAGCCCACAAACAGGAGGGTTATAGTGGTATTTAATGAGTTTTGATTGGCTATTTTTTAAAATAATAACCAATCAAAACTCGCATAAATTTTATACCGCAATTGTGTTAGATAAGTATGCGAATATAACCTGTAAGCTTCTACGAATAGATAAGCTGTATATGTAAAAATAATCTCAAGGATATAAGATGTGATTCATAGTCAATCAGCACGAATAGAATATTGTTGTTCTCATATAATCCATAAATATATGTTTTGACGTCATTCATCTAAGTGTTTGAAAGCGAGGTGTGTGGAATAATTAAAAACCTCCAATGCTTTTCCCTTTGATTAACGTTTTATAGTTAAATCAGATGGATTTGGGTAACAGATTAAGCTTCAGAGAACCCGTTCTTAAATGATAAGTAAAGATATTATGTAACGTTAAAAAGCATCGTGAGAAATATTTGATTGTGTGTTACATAATTTGATTGACGTTGTATCTGTACATAATAACGCTTCCCTGATTGTTGTATCTGTACTGCACCTTTTACCCCGAGTGTTTTATCACATAGGATGCTCTGAAGATGGCCATGCAATGTAAGGATCGTCCAGTCCAGGCAAAGTGTCTATTTACATTCGCTGAGATTCACAGAACGCGGAAGGATACGGAGGTAAAAAAAACAGTAATCATCACAGGCGGAGTAATCTAAACAATTTATATTTAAAGTAGTCACGAACATGAAGGTGAGGTCAACTGGGGTAATCTTAAGCTATTTAAACACGTAGTTTGTTTATAACCGTACATATACTTCAAATTTAAACAATTCTATTTATATCCAGCACATCCACGGAGCCACTTTACGTAAAATAAATAGACCTTAATAGATTTAGCCAAGAGAAATAACTTGCATATAGCACGTCCATAGCCTGTGTGTTCAGCATCGAAGTATCCTCAGTATCAACATCCTATACAAACTATACTGGGCGGGAGACGGCTTATCAGAATCTTAATGAAAGAAGGGTTTTATGATCCAGGCTATCATTAATTGCGCCAGGGACCGGTTTGGATATTAAAAAGCCAATATAACGTGTGAAACAAAACGGTGAGAAAATTATTCTATCTAGAAAGGGAGGTTGTTACTTTTGATGTCTTTTAAGAATAACAAACTGCAAAACTATCACATATACTATCCTCCTTCTTCCAATTTACAAGGAATGTTTAGTAATTACTTCTGGAATCTCGAACCTGCCCCTAGATTGGTCATCTAACGCTTCATTTCCTCCATCGTTTGGTAAAAAGAAATACCATTTATATGATATGGAGGAACTGCTATAAAACAAACTTAAACGAATTCGGCCAAAAGCATTCTTAGCCAAAATCATAGTTAAGTGGAAATATAACAAAAGTGTTTTTGAGCCTAATAGCAAACAACGTATTTACAGTTCACTGGGGTCACCATTTGTTTAAGCTTCCAGGGAAATCAATAACTCGTCGGTCATCTCAGTACAAGGTTTGAAAATATTTTCATGATTTTGTCCCCTTGACACATTGTAAATATAAGAGGCTTTTTATTGAAAATACAAATTGTTGAACCTCATTACGGTCATTGAAGACTTTAAAAACGGAGTGTTCAAAATGTTATTTAACGGTCCTTTTTATTAAAATATTAGAGTAATCGGAAGATTTGAACTTGTTTCAGAGTACAGTGAAATAAACTTGCCAAATATACTTCGAATATCATGTGTCAATTAAATGAACAAAGTTCTTGATAAGAAACCATCTACATGTATGTTTCTGTTTTTCCCCAGCGAGCCAATCCCCGGTACGAGTCGGCTTACTCCATCTACACTGAGATTGGTGACAGGTACGGTCAGATGGAGTCCTTGAGAGGGATGGCCAAGTCGACCACCTTATCAGGAGATACTCAGCAGGTCAGTATCATGTTTATCAGGTCGGCCATGTTAACGTCAAACAAGGTCAAGGACACAAATTACATCATTATTACAATCTGCAAATCTGGTCCTTAAAACTAAAAGTCCTTAAAAACTGAAAGTCCTTAAAAACTAAACGTCCTTAAAAACTAAAAGTCCTTAAAAACTGAAAGTGGCTATTTATACACGTACTTGCTTTTCGAAACGCAGTTGTTCTGAATAACCGTAATGTTGGCATGATGATCAGACAATAATTATAATGTATACTGTTATAGTAATTCAAACCAAGTTAAAGGTAAAACAAGTTTAGTGTTTTGAAAGGACAAGGATGTGTCAAGTCTGAGTATATAGGGTCAAGGTCACAAGAATACACAATGAAAGTGTCATAAAGTTCAAGAACACGTCTCATTGAGATTTCTAGACTCATATGAATACTTATGGGAAAGATAACAAAAGTCATGTTCATGATAGTTTAATGTATCAAACGTATACTAATAGGGTAACATTTTCATGTTAGTGTCATATTGAGGTGTAAATAGTTATGGTCAAGGTCATATGAAAAATAATGAAAGTGACTGGGTGGCTTGGCACATCATATATTATGAAATATTAGCTTCGTGAAGTCGATAACACGCACATATACAATGTAAACCAGTGCCATGTTTGAGGTATTCAAAAGAAAACAAATTGAATCCCAATTATTTATGTTTTGTGAAAGCAGGAAAGTCGTCGACGGATGCAATCGTAACCTTCTATACACACTCAGTCTTTTTATAAACCAGGTAGGCACCGAATACGTCATTGGCCTGGCACAGCTGGTGACGTTTCACTGTCAATTAAACATGCAATAATAAAAGAGCTACATTAACGGTGACGTTAACAATCCATTTTACGTGGTAAGGATATTTCTGGCAACAGTTTAAACACGTCGTCATCTCGACAACTTTAGTGTTTTGAAAGGATAAGGATGTGTCAAGTCTGAGTATATAGGGTCAAGGTCACATGAATACACAATGAAAAAGTGTCATAAAGTTCAAGAACACGTCTCATTGAGATTTCTAGACTCATTATGAAACTTATGCGAAAGAGAACGAAAGTCATGTTCAGGATAGTGTAATGCATGTATCAAACGTATACTAATAGGGTTACAATTTTCATTTTCATGTCATATCGAGGTGTAAATAGTTATGGTCAAGGTCATATGAAAATTAATGAAAGTGACGGACAAGTCTAACTGTATCCAGGATGGATTGACACATAATAGATTATGAAATAGTAGCTTAGTGAGGTCGATAACACGCACATAGACAATGTAAACCAGTGCCACGTTTGAGGTATTCAAAAGAAAACAAATTGAATCCCAATTATGTAGTCTTTTGTGAAAGCAGGAAAGTCGTCGACGGATGTAATCGTAACCTTCTATACACACTCAGTCTTTTTATAAACCAGGTAGGCACCGAATACGTCATTGGCCTGGCACAGCTGATGACATTTCACTGTCAATTAAATATGCAATAATAAAAGAGCTACATTAACGGTGACGTTAACAATCAATTTTACGTGGTAAGGATATTTCTGGCAACAGTTTAAACATGTCGTCATCTCAACAGTGTTAACGCAAGTGTTTCATTGCCATACATCGATGACAAGGCAAAGTAATCTACCTCTTCCTGACTCCATATCTTATCAGATCCCCATTGACGTATACGTATGGTACAGTTACATTAGTGCAATGTTAGTGTAACCTCATTTGAAGCAAGCCTTATTAGCTTAGTGGTAGTGAAAAATGAAATCTGAATTACTGATATTTTCAAAATTATTAAAATCTGAACTAACCTATGAAAATGTTAATGTTCAAATTGATCATCATCTTAATAAACAGCACAAAAACATAAGAAAAATATCGGTAAAACTCACTTTAAAAAGACTGACTTAATAACCATTTAAACGATTAAGCTTGTTTATTACGTTCGTTCCGGAACTTGGCGTCTAACTCCTGTACCATGGTCAACAGGTGCGCGTCATATCATCAGTTTGTATTGATTGATTGTAGTTACGTCGATGGCATTTGAATGTTAATAAAATGAATTGAGTTTTATCTGACCAGGCTTTGGAACTGTACCAGCGAGCCTTAGACCTATCAGAATCTATTGGGAACAAGGTAAGAACACTAAGCACCGGAGATTAGTACTAATTGAAAATCAATTTAACAGGTGACCTCAGGTATAGAAATATTATTCACACTTTCTCCTCTACTACGATAACGTAGCTGTGAATGTTGGTATTTAGATTTCTCTAAGATTGACTTATATTTCATCTGGCATTCACATTTACCTGACATTATCCACAGATTAAATAATGTTTCATCTCATTTGTCAAACGGTATCCTAAATTCAATGTGTTGATTGTGATTAGTTGATACGCAAATATCAAAACTTTTCTGAAAACCACACTGATCAGATGTGGATTAAATATATTTCTACCCATACTCCTACACAGTAACTTTCTACTAATGCAACATAAATACGTTTGGGTGTTCACAGGTTAAACATATGTTATCAGTGTGAACTCATTTTATGCTTAACACGAACAATGAATTTATTTGAAACGAATTCTTTTACCATAACGTAATAACGAGGAGTCTGTCTACATCATGTATATATATTCCTTTTAGGGGCGTACCTATGAAGGTTCTCCGTCAAAATTGGTAGTCAAACAAAACGAAACTTAAAAAATGAAAAAATAGACAAAAAGAATAGATACGATGAGGCATTGTTAAAAATGTCTCATGGATCATAAGCCGAGACACTTTTCCTTCAATACTCAATCATGTGAAGTAACTTAAGAATACGAAATTCGGACACTCCTTGGAAATTTCTTAGTCTACCTCTTGCCCTCAACAAGAATCCTAATAATTGTTATAGTGTACACAACACAACATCATATTTCAAACTATGTCACAGCTACGTCTGCTTTAGGTTCGGGGAGGTTACAAAAGATTTGTCGGCTGTATCCCTTGGGTGATCGTAAGAGTCGATAAGATGTTTTCTTCTGTGACCTTCTTTTGACTTTGAAGTAACGCTGGAGAATCTTTTCTGTTCTGTCATGATAATGTCTACACCAGTGATTCTAGGTTTTACCGTAATTATAGACGTGTTCACACTGTATCATATCTATGGTGAGTAAATCTTTTCCTGGATAAGAGTAACGACGGCACAGCGAGTGTTATATGTGATGCAGGAAGCGATCAGCCATGCGGAGCACCAGGTGTCGTCTCTAGTTCTTTTGGGGCAGTTTAAGATATTTATTTTGTGTCTTTTAAGTAACCACCATTGTACATGCGTTGAGTTCATAGTGTGTGCTTGTGTACTGATGATGTGGTGCATATGTTTTTTTATCTTCATTCCTCACGTACATCCATTTCTAAGGTTAAAAGACTGCAGGTTTTGCGAAGACGCATAACAATGAGCAAACAAATGGTTTTGACGCGGCGTAGGGTTAGATGAAGTTTTACTCTTTACAGGAACATTGAAAATGGATTGCAGCACACGTCATCTGTGCAATTTATCTCTGACATACCATCAACACTCTTTAAAGCTGTATTGGTTCATTATCCGTCTTCTTTGCGTCATAAAACCTTAATGACGAATACTTAGTTGTTCAAAATTATCACTTATGTATAATTCCAACATTTTCTTTGAAGTCAATGTCTTTAAATTGTTCAATCGCAGTGACGAACATGGTCGTTAGCTATAATATCGGCGTCAAGAGGGTATTACGGTATGTGGGTATGGTATGTGTAGATGTATGTCTCCTGTAATAGAATCCTGTTTAGTGACCAGTTATCCATGATTGTCACAGGTTAACACTAACCTACCAACCCTACACTACAACAATGCAACTTTCTCGATTATCTCCGCAGGCCAATACAGTGCCAGCTTTTGTAAACACAATTCAGGTAATCTGTTACACTGACTATATACTATTGATAAATCTTTTTCTACAGTCATTAGATTATAACGTGCTTAAGTTTTGCGAATTTGAATCAAGCGCGAAATACGCAAAAATATCCCGATTTACGGTAGTTTTGTAAAAATCTTAGAGATGTGATCTAGAATACCTTGGTTTTAAACTGTTCTAGGTTATAATGAGTACAGTCTAGGCAAATGTCAATTTGTTATATTTTGTGTTGTAGTTTGGGACCATGCAGTGTAGCGTAGCGCTAGCCGATCTCTACAACGAAGATGGCAATAGCGCTATGGGCGACACCTACAAAAGCGCCGTACGGACCCTAGCGGAACATATGGAATTATTCTGTGGTGTATGTGGCGAAACAATGGGCCAACTTCCAGAAGAGTTATATCCCTTGCCATGCGGCCATTTAATACATAACAGGTTAGTTGTTGATTTTCACATCAAACATGAATTAAATACAGCTTAATATGCATTGTCAGATACGTTCTCACATGAAAACTTGAAATGGAATAACGTCTTGAATTTAAATTATGGGAAATCATCTTTCTTAATTTCGTTTTTGTATCTGCAGGTGTGGACCCCACCTGGCTCGATACACCTGGGGAAGGAAAGGTACACGACGACCCTGTCCGTCGTGTCGCGTCAAGTCATCAGGAAATCCTATACTTGAGCTTTAGAATGGCATCTTAAAACATTTCTGGTATTGTAACAAAACTTGTTAAACACCACCCACATACAAATACTGGAACTATTAACTCTTCAGCTTTGTAACCTAATCGGAAATTTATTAATCCTATGTATTAAGGATTTCTGTCCCACTGTCTATGGCCACTATTGGGGCCACGGTGGCCAAGTGATTAAGGCGTCTGACATTCTGCTATATGTATCACTAATCCTCCACCACTAGGTCGCAGGTTCGAGACCTACACTTGCACGTGGGCAGTCGCCAGGTACTGGCCGTAGGCAAGTGGGTTTTCTCACGGAACTCCGTCTTTCCTCCATCACCAAAACCTACCACGTCCTTAAATGGCCAAAGCTATTAACAGGACGTAAAACACAAACAAAACATACTGCAGACAGAACGCTGGGGAATTTCAGTGTGAGTTTTCGTATAAGCAGCAACCTTCCCTTACAACTGTTTTGGATATATCTGGTGTATTTGGGCCAGGGTACTGCCTTTGATTACGTACCTATATTGGTTATTATAACAAATCTGAGGTGAGGTTCAGGTTTGAATCCTGGCCTGGTACCACACATTTTTACACCCAGAATACTGTTGCTGATTGTGTTTTGTTTAATTCAACTTTCAAATATAAAAGTCTAGCAAGATAAGTTTTCTTTTTTTAAATGTTTTATCAAAGCTATAGTTGTGAAGAAAAAGTTCCCAGGTTTGGGCAGGGGTACGGGGATCCTAAATGAATAACTATTGATAACTATAACTTATCGTTAATGTGTGTATGTAGAAGAATAGCTTGCTATAAGTAAATGGATTGTTTACAAACAGACTGACGACTAACTTAATCAATAAAGACAGTATTAGAAATATGTATTGTGAGGTAGCAAGAAACCTTACCAAAGAGCTCGTTTTAACTATCATGGTGGAACTAATACTCAGAATGTTAGCACTTTACTCATATAATACTATTCAGACGGTACAACGTCTCTTAGCATCTTGTGACGCTATTAGCATATCATAATTAAGAAAGATATTGATAGAAACATAAGCAGTTTTGATTACAGTATGCTATCAGTTGTACGAGGATATATATATATATGTGGAGAGGTGATGTATGTGTGTATAAGTGTATTGTTATCATTGTTTATATCAAACACATGTGAGTACGTATATGTAGATAGAGGTACTAATAATGGGACCACCAAACATTAACAAGTGTGTATACAAATATTCCTTCAGGGCAAAGGGGTGGGGCCAAATACAGGATAAAGAGGTAAAACTTCAAAATTCTTCTTCTGCTGTACCAATGGAGGGATTTTAACCAACTTTGTCCCATAGCATTTTTAGTCACCCCTTTGAGGCAGAGGGGCAGGGCCCAATAGGAGAAATAAAGGTAAATCTTTAACATCCTTCTCCTTCTGTACTAGTAGAGAGATTAAAACAAATTTGTCCTAAGGCAGCTTTGGGAAAAGGGGTTTCAATTTTGTTTGAATGTATTAGGAATGGGTAATCTGTTTATGGAAAAGAATTACGTTTGTTCAATATTCTGTAAATGACCAAGACGCTACACATGTTTGAGATTATATTTATCCTATATTATTGTTAAATAAGTTTTGTTTTGTGTTAAAATTCAGTAAAAAATATATCCACAAAAAAACACCCTGATTTTCATTTTTCACCGACATTTATAACGTCATTTTAGTGTAAAATGTAAAATTACGACTGCCGTTGTAACATAATGTATGTTACATAATGACAATTTATAAAGTGATGTTATTACACTCAAATACGTGTGACTGGAGTACGTTTAGCTTATAAAATTTGAAACGTAGGCAGTGTAACTATATCACAAACTAGTGTGCGTCAAGCAAGTTATATGAAAAGATTTAATTATATGGAAAAAAAATCTTTATATATATGTGTATTTAATGTCTATTTCAACCTGAAGGACCAAAACATGTTATCACACGTGCATCCCTTTTGAATACCTTAGTCATTTTGTATGTATGGGAAGGAACAGTCAAAAATGGGAATAGTTACTTTTAAATGACAAAAACATGTAACGCTAACAAACAGACAAGTGGTTTAGTTTGTTAAAAACGTTATATATGATATAAATGTCTTCTTTTTGTGATATTTTCTTGATCATAATATCGAGATAAAGTTGTATATTAATAGTTTGCTGTCATTTCCATGAACAAGTTATATATAAACAAGAAATGTAGGGGAAAGTGAAAATAAATTAACGCAAAAAAGGTCTGAAATCAACGATATATTATAGATGAACTATGTCTAGATATTTGTTAAACATTCCATACTGAGAATCTCAGTCTTCCCATACTTGATGTTGTCCTGTGTTCCCAAGTTTTTTTTCGTGAAAACTAAATATTGTGTCTTGAATTACATAGTTTCATGTAATATTGATAAAAAAGAGATAAAATCTGATATTACAGTGTATATTTTATGTAAAATGATATAATAAAAAAACATTATTTTTAAAATGTATGTGTTGTTTTCAGTAGTATGATACAATTATCAGCATTGTTAAAATTTGGGTCATATACTCATCACATTCCGTTGACCTATCCTGTATTCGGGATCGAAGGTTGTCGATACAAATCAATACTCTGATTGATGGCATTTGCTTCATCCAGTCATAACGGAATCAACATATACATAACATTATCCAGTATATCAAGCTGTTGCAGTTAACGTTAACGCATTCATCCCTCAGGTCACATTTAAACCTTACCTAATCAAAGACTGAGCTAGTCTAGTTTAAACATGTAGGGGTGAATGAGTTAATGGAACAACAAAAGCGAGATGCATTAGCATAGACGATTGTGTGTTCTTTTCGGACAATACATGTACGTTTATAAAACAGTGATACCCATAGCTGCAACTAGTCATAACTTTAAAAATAAAAAAGTCCGATAAAGAATTTAGTGCGCAAAAATGTATTTGGGGTCTCACAACAGCTAATCGACCATATTGTAAAATAGCTGTCATCAAAATAAGAAACACCAGTTGTAGAAAGTAAAGGATTAAACTTAATATAAAACGAAAACGTTTTCTCCCTCTTTGAAAAGTACGTTAACTTCTTCATTGTATAAACTTCTGTGTTATTGTTAGGGTCTTTAAAAAAATGCAAAACAAGATATTCGAAATATACCAATGATTTAATGATTCTACACGGACAGCCCATCGTCAATCATGAAAAATAAGATATAACTATACAGAAGAATTGTTCCGCCAATGGACATGGTTGAATACAAATAAAAACAATATTCACATAATATATGACGGAGATAGCCTCTAAAGTGACGTAAACAATTTGCGAAACAAGATTACAGAAAGATGAGATTTATTGCGTTTGAGCACACTCTTTATGGCAATTGTGGCAAAAGTTTTCTATAGAACATTACAAAGACACTCAGCACCATTACGAATCGCTAATGAAGGTCTTCACTTTATTGTTTATCCTGTCCCTTCTATCCTCGTTTATACCCAGCTTAATGTCCATCACCTGTTTCCTTTGATCGGCAATCGTCATGGGATTCCTTGAGTGAGAAAGGTGGGATTTCCATTCATTCGCCGATAGAGTTGGCCGTTGTTGATTAAGAATATCCATAATACCAGCATTTTTGTTTATTGCAGTACTAGCGAAGGTAGGTAACATTTTGTCATTAGGATCCCTTGACGGTGGTTTACGCGCAGAATACATTTTGCGAGCCATTGCTTTCTTATCGAACACGTTTTGACTGTTAAATTTACCCATTTCACGTTGACGTACGCTATCTCTCCTGGCCATGGGATGCCGTTCTGCATTTAAATTTGCACGAAGCAACTTTTTAGTAATATCAGATGTATCCGTCATCCACGTGCGATTTGACCTCGAGCTTGATGCACGACTACATGACGTCATGGACTCAATGTCGTCACTATGATTACTGGTAACGTCATCAATGTCACCATCTCCTCTTAACGACGTTATAAACGTACGTGACTTGGCGGGACTACTTTGCGGACGTGTAGAAGATGACACTTCGCTTGACTTTTCACTAAGATCAGACAGATCCAAAGGTTTTACGCGTGACCGTTCTGCTGCTGATTGTGGACGTTGAAATCGTCGTCTCTTGCGACTAACAATTCTTTCGCCGTACAAAAAGCATGGTCCTCCTTCAGGTTTTTCGTATTCTTCTTCTGTCTCCGGACCTAGGCCTTCTGGACTTTGTCCACTACATGAGTTTATATAGTCCAAAGTAACCGATATAAGCCGGATGTCTTGATTTGTAACTTGAATCTGGCGCTTTTTTTCTTTATCCAGAATATTCAAACGACCGTACAATTTTGTATTTTCTATGTTGTTGATTCTGTAAGCTCTCTGAACTCTCGAAGAGTTGTAGCTTGGCTGCCCAAGAGTGGGCATGCTGAATTTAGATTTTCCCAAAAATCAATAGAAATCACTGGCACGAAGAAAACACCGATCCAGAAATGTTATCATGACAATCAGCGATCTGCAATAAAAAACAATGAAGATAATATAATATTTACAGATACAGTTTATTTTATGTAAGTAATTTAACAATAAACACAAATCTTACTGTATCAGTAATTACTAACTGGTGAATCACAAAACAGCAACAAATTCAAACAATGGATATGGGTATATTGAGAACAAAAAGACCAAGTCTTTTAAACGCAATCACAAAGAAACAATCGTATAAAGTAAATGCTTTATAATAAGATAAATGTATTATGATGTATAAAATGGTTTATAAGAAAAGCTGTGATTTAATTATTTAAGTATGAAAAAGTAAATGATTTATAATATAAAATATAATTATTGATTTAATTATATAAAGTAAGTGATTTATTAAATATAAAAGAATGGACATATATATATAAGATACAAATGGTCATGGCCGTACCACATGAAGTATGCGTAGTCATCATGATAAATAATATAAATATGTGATGTCCTTCAATCGAGCTGACATGATGGACAAACTACAAGCAGCAGCAACGTTTTAATCTCACCTGAATATAATCTCAATTTAGTTAATAACCTCATGATCTTATACATCCCAATCGATGTTTAAAACATCATATAAGATTAAATCAATACAAACGCTTATTTTTTGTTTTACTGATATGTCACTAAGCTAACATAACTCTGAAACACACGAGGTAATGTGCAGCAGGACTAAGCAAATAGCTCGGTAAGGACGAACAAACACACACAAAGTACAATACACAGTTACGTAAGGTATAGGTATTGACTCGCCATCATATTGACAAGTCTTCGTTGAATTTCAAACACTCACGGTTCTCTCTGCACAAACAGGAGCCATAGACCGGGTATAGTTATCTATCATTAATCAATTCAACCGGAAAATGCGGCTCAACAGACCAAAGAAAACCTCGATAGGAATACAGTTGATTAGGGAAGGTTTTTGTATCAAATATAAAAAAGATGAGATTTCAAACGATTGTTTTATCGATTCAAACCCATGGAAAAAATCGTTATTACTTGACACACATTTGAATGGCGTAGCAGTAGCGGACGAAGCAATATTTACCTTACTTACAAGACAACCTCGCTGATTTTAAAGGATTTATCGGAAATGTGGAAAATCGACTATATTACTTGCATCGAAAGTTATTTAAATAGTATATCAACTAGTGCTTTCTTTTATATCAATCAAATGCCTGAACACAATTCAATAGATAGACTGAACATGCCCAGGACCTGTGCCTCTGAATATGAATATTTATATTCCAGATTTGATGACAACATTTTCGACAGGGATATAGGAGTTTTATGATAAATGGATCAGTTTAGACATCATAAAACTTGACAAGAATATGATGATACAATTCCCTTGCCTCACCGTCATTCTCTGTTGGATTTAAATGGATCGAACCCCTCTGTTACCTGATGAATGTCTACTTTAAAACCCCCATTAAAGACTACACGAGCACATTGATATCCGTGATGGATAGGATATCATACCTGGGATAAAGATTACAGGCTACATTAGCTCGCATAGATAGACACAGATAAAACCACCGTTGTTAATCTCTTTTTCACCGTGAACACGTGTACTGAAGACTACATTCACACAAACGATACACTTTACCTTACAGCTGCGAATTCGAACAGTTTCGCTTAGGAATTGATTCTGAAATCGAGTGAATTCCTCTCAACACACTTTCGTTTCTTGATGGCCGTTCGGCTCAAATTATGTCATGACTTGATGTCAAGAATAAATGTTGTCTTTCAAGTCAACGGTGTTTTAAATCATTAATCTTTTGCGGTGTTCGGTTCAAACCGCAAAAGGACTAGGTAGCGAATCAAAGTGGTACGACAAATATACATACCTGAAAGAAACGATAAATGCCTACCGCTGTTAATTGTTGTATGTCCTCGCTTATCAGTTTAAAAAATAATTAAACTCGATTATAAAAAACGATTCTTCACAATTATTTAAGCTAAAGAGTGTCATCAGATAAAAAATATCATTACCATCGGCACTGTTGTGTATTGTTTGAGTCAATTGCTACAATTTTTACAGAATAACAGATGTCCGATATTTGAGAATTGTGAAACAACTAAAACATAGATATTGGTTTAGCACGAGGGACCTATTCACTGTTTTACACCTCAGCAATATTGCTATCCAGAAATTGTAAATTAACTATATAAAAATGAAAATGGATACATCACAAAAAAATGAAAAGATGTTAAGCAAGAATATCTACTTCTATAATATAAGGGAGAAAACTCGAAGTCAAAAAATCAGGTGTGAAGTTGAATTTGAACTTGAAACATGAATATACACAGAAATGATTTAGGCAAGCAAGTTTAAATACATGACAAAGACTAATGAAACTTTTAATATGTAGTTCTTTCTTTATTCCTGATCTTTTCTCAATACAATATTCTATTCATGAAACGCCTAAAGATTACTACAATTTTTTTTTATTAAACGTAATATGTTTCAGATATTAGTTCTCAATAACGGCATGATTGGCAGGCTTTATGGGTGTTATGCATACGTCTATAACTCCTCAGTACACGGAAAAGGCGTGAATAATATAATTGGCATCTCAAAACATGTTGCTCACGATTATGTGATAAACTTTATCGTGATTGATCGTATAAGTTCATGTGGCCTATATCAATAACATTATATTGATCGAAGAAATAATTTAATAATGTAGCGGTATTGCATTGTATTATACCATATCTAACCATGCTACCAGATTACGAAAGTAACATAGCAACCAGTGATAAATGATGCTAAGTAAACGGAAAAGACATTTTGATAACATTTTGAAATATTTGCTTTTCTAACAGGTACAAAATCAAGACAACTATTTAACTCAGTTTCAATCTACTAACAAGCATAGCTTTGTCCAGGTAGATGAATTACACATGTCAGCTATATGTGAAGGATATTGATCAATACGTTTGAATTTCATATTGACATTCACAAAAAATTACAAGCGAAATTGAACAAACATCAGATATCTTTTTGTAGCAAAGATGAGGAAACACGTCTAAAACAGAAAATCGACATCTTAACAAAGATAAATCAATGCTACCTGGGCGTACTAATTGACTTTACCTGCTGTATGTATTAAATACACTTAAAGCACTTAATCTCTTACCTGAGTTTGCTTTATACAATTCATATCTAGCCATCTATATGTGGTGTAATGACGTACATGTGGACTTAGCGAAATCGATGAAACTCCCTACCTATTTTATTTGTATAGTATTTATTTTGTTCTTGGTGTTGATACGTTTTAGCTAACTGCTGATTTATACTACGAAACCTCGCCTAGCATTGATTCATTAGCAAAATATCTAATTAAAACGGGTAGCGGTAATTCACTGGCTATCATCATTACGATTGAAAGCATTTTAATATAAACAAACGTAAAAAATCGAATGAATTGATTAAATTTCAGCACTCTCAAAAAAAGCACTTAAGTTCCCAATTAATCAATATATTCATGCATTCAGTTGATTTTTTTTTTACATTTAAGATTCAAATCGAAAAAGTAATAAATTCCATATTAATTGAAATGTGTAACCACTCTCCCATTGTCACTGCTACACCTAGCGTTTTAATGAGGAACTGTCGGTCCAATATAGTTATGTACATAGTAAGATTTTAATATAACAGTTTTCTATTTTTACGTGATCTCTTTAAATCTGAGGAAGATCAAAATATGGTTTAAGGCACATGTACATACGTGTTATAAACGTTCTAACATTTGTGCCCAACAGTTAAACAGTTTATAGAATACAATAATCAAGGTACTAGGTAATCAAGAAGTGTGTGTTCATTCGTTCTCTCAGTAATTAATTTGACTACTGCAACATTGGTAGCATACACATACACAAATATAGAAACAACTGATGATATTAAAAAAACTAAGACTGAAAATACATCAACAATGCACATTTACAGCAATTGCTTGATTTTACTACACGGAAGGATGAAAAGCATATAGAGAGATGTATAAATACCCAAATCCATAATGATTGGAATAAACTTCATCTTGCTTCATATTCTCCAATAGTATATAACAATAAGACCTATTATACTGTGTATAAATCTTACCTTGCATTTATAAACGTCCCAGGAATTCGATAAGATGCCGACAAAAATACAATGAACATTTATATCATTATATTGGCACCAGAATTAAGACAGCCAGTAAGCATGTAAAGATACAACACCTTCACTACACTGTGGCTTGCCCACCAGTTACCATAGTGTATACCTGTACGACTATCTCCACATACACAAACACACCTGTATATATCACCTATATATCACCTGTATCCGTATAGGTAGACGCAACCAGTCACCACACGAGCCGACTACGGCCAAGTGTCGTACTGGGTGATAAGGCAGGCATGCAGGACCATAGTGGCCAGGGGTACGAGGCGACCACTTCACATGTGTTAGGTTACTATAAACTATTAAATATGAATAACTTATCATCCACTTGTCTGAGTTTGTCCGGCTTTACCTTTGGTACACTGGGCAGTGTTTGCAAGTGCGCGAGTAAACGTAAAATGGACTTTTATCGAACACGAACTTGCTCTTGTGACATAATAAATTTCAACTTAATGTCATACAAAACGGTACTTAAATTCTAATCTCTTCTGAAAATAAATTTCTCGGTCATATATTTTCTACTGGAAGCATTTTGCATCAATAAATTGTTCAAAGAAGTGTACCGATATCCTTGTTGCTTTGTGTGATATACAGGCTATAGAGTCTCTTTCTATTCAACGCTTCACGACACTGGAGTGTAACTAAGATATGCGGAGCATTTTAGCTTACTCGGAGACAAATAATGGGGTATAAGGCATTACTTGTGCTTATACGTGGCGAATCAGCTACAAGTGTACATATAGCTTAAAAATGGGCTTTTGTCTTTAGAATAAAACCATTTTTAGGAGTGACTTATATAAATGTGATTCTATATAGTAATGAAACTCACCAATAAGCACCTATTCCGTCTTTTCTTATTGCAGAGTTATCTGCTCTTGTGAGCAGGTATTGATTGTTACGTCATTAGTTTGTGTGAGAAAATTACGTCGAAAATTACACGAGCAGATAACTCTGCAATACGAAAAGACAGAATTAATAGATTAAATTCATGAAACAACCATAAAACAAACTACATTTTAAAAAAAAATGATAAAAATGACTTCGCTTTAAAAAAAATCATAGTGATTTAACAAGCAATGCACGGAACGCCCTCACAGCCTTCACAGGTCAGAGAACCACGTGTCAGTTTATTTCGCCTCTAGAACTGATGAAAAATCGATTGGTTTTAAAGCAAGGGTTATTGAAAAAGACATTTAATTTATATGGAATGTTATCTTATGTAGATCTACTTAATATAAAAGGACGCTTTCGTTTGCCCAATAACCACACAATCACTAGATGGGGGCCAAATGTAGAAAGTGTCCTAGCTTTGGTAGTAATTTATCTTAATGTTTCCACAATTCTTAAAACTAAAAAGTGGTTCGTATACATCTTCAAAATGTTTATCAAAATGCAATACATTCAATAATAATGAGTGTTTGCTAACACCTTTTCAAAAATTGAAAATTGAAAGTTTGACTTATATGTTAACAGCTTATGATACTTAATACAATCTGGTCCACATGATAAATGACGACCATGGTCAGTGATGGTCAGTTATCACACGTCTGTGGTACTATAGAAACATACTATTGATCAAAACAGCATTGTCAGTCGTACATATATATCTATATATATCTCTACCATTGTTGCCTTTGCACACGCATGTTTATACTCACACAGTAATGAGTTTCAACAACAGCTTACTTAGCATCTTCTAAATGGAAGCTTACAGAAGCTCCACTATCGAATTTTCATTATAAAACAAAGATTTCTTTTCACGTCAACGTTACAATAAAAGCAACAAACCATTATACAGATAAGCTAAGCAGGCAATTATTTGTCAGTATTGTACGCTGTACTTGGAACAGAGAAAGTATGTTTGATATCCTTTATAACCCTTCAGCAGTGTCAACTGTAAATAGAGAAAACGACCAATACACAACGATCAACAGGCTTTACAAAGCTGGCTGCCCAAATTGGATAAATGCAAACATTCAATCGTTTACCATTTATGTTTGTCAAGAAATCTGATTTTTGTTTACCTGATCAATATCTGATTATAATGTATCTGCTTAATCAATAAAATGCATTCTTGTGTCAGTAATACAAGAATTAAATGGTTTAAAGCCGGACTGTTATTTTTTATTCATTTATTTATAATAAAGATGTGGGCTTGTTTTCTGAATGAATTCAATCTACATTAGTACAATATCTTCACAGTTCCTTTCTCCACACGTACACACTTGTTACGCTTCACACGGGTGGTCATTTAAATGTTATTCCATGGTTTCTTAACTGAATTATTTACAATTCAACAAGACCAACATCTCATACATGTTTAAAAGAAGTCCAAATGATTTTCCTTGATTGTCATTTATAGTATTCTTTGATCAATTCTTTGATCAATGAAAGAGTAACCGATATTTTGTCAGGAAAAATCGACCAAAACACGTTTGAAAACTCCAAACAATGAGATTTTTGTTGTTATCTATTTCATTCAATGTTTTGCAATATAGGATTTATGGATATGCGACAATAAACGTTTTAAAACCCGCAATAGTTGTACAACGGAGAATGGGAGAAAGAGATAATGTTTTATGACAAATACTCCTATGCCCTTACGTTATTGACAAACTGCGATATCTCCAGTACTTATCATGTCTTGTTTCATTTACACACGCAGTACAATACCTGTCCTATTTGGATTTGAACGAGTTATTCTGCGATACGTGGCCTTATTGTAATTTATGAGCAGCACGGCGAATCGTACCACACGCTGAAATACAGCCCTGATAACCTGGTTTCCTACTCATATACTGTACATCAGGTAAATCCATATCAATATCCTAGTATATAAAAGTGTGAAGTCTCTGTTTAAGTACTGTGTTAAAAGAATATATGGGAAACATTCACAAACACCCTTCTGGATAAAATTTAAAGGGATCAAAACACATTGAACTTAGGGTAGATGAATTCCTTATAATAACGATTGTTTTATCGTAAAATGCAATTTAAACTTATATGAACCTTTAATCTAAATACAATGAGTGAATCATAAATATGATTCTGTTTAATCTGTCTTAATTCTGACACATATATACACACACGTCGATAAGTAAAAGCTTTCTAAACTTCCTAATCTTCAAGGTATATAACAAATCGTACAACCAACTCTACGACTAGAGTTCAGGCACTGACTCATGATCCACGTACCACCTTATAAGGGCTTATATTGTTGTAGTTCTACAGAGGATTGTAACATGTATATCCTCACAAGTTGAAATATGCCCAAGCTGTGATTATGAAAAACGTCTCGATACTTGATCGGTAAACTGGTGTGCATTATCACGTTTGTGCACGTACGACCTAGATGTTTGTATTTATTTTTCTTGGCAGTTGTGTGCTGTTGTAGGTATGTTGTCTTTCAAAATAAGTATTTAATCGAAACAATCGAAGGTCATTACCATCCAGTAAAAGGTATGTAAGAGTGGGAAAGTGCCCAAAGTCTGATTATTAAAATACTTCAGTGTCGTTAACCGGGTATGTCCTCAATTTAGCTAATACATCTTTACAAATCATAACAAAAGTAAGGGAAATATTGGCAATCAGTTAAGAGAACAATATCCGGTTAATAATTTCATGTTTTGTTTATTTTTTGAATCGGCTTCGTAAACATATTTACTATCAAAACAAGGTCACTCTCTTGGGTGTTATTAGTGGTCCTATCGGCTAAAATAAATGGATTAAATGAAATATCATTTTCCACAATAATAAAAACTGAAAAAAGCATAATTTAATCAAATTTTAAAATTGTATGAAAATAAATAGAAATATTATCCCTTGCAACGGAAATGAAAATCGTATTCAGCTGTATTAAAAAATAGTTTGATTGATAATGAATTAATGTTAAATTTTAATCTAGGATATGATAATGAATGTATATGTTAATGGTTGGAACACAATTGTCCACATTGCATGACAATGGTGATATAGCTTATTATTTTACAATTTGAAAGGGAAAAACAAAAGAAATTTAAAAGCATTTTATAAGTAAGTTTGAGTTCGATACATCTGGCCCCTGATACTGTTTGTGTTGTCTTAAGATTATCAATCCCAGAACATCACATTTCTTTTTCGATTCTAGTAATTATGAAAATGTCACTGATATCTCCATCAATTTTATGATTTAATGAGTCATTCAGTTAATGTATATTGAAAAAAAGAAAGAAAAAAAGAAGAGATCAACCGATGTATCAACACACATGAAACAAACTCAATTGAAACGACAATAACAGACGCGACGAAAATGCGTTCGGGATCCCCGCTGTTCAAAGATGTATGATCAATAAATCTTTCGATGAATTATTTTTAAGTTATCTTTTTCAAAAAGTTTTTAATAAAAGTATGAATAATATGACCTCATTATCTTAGAAAGTTAAGGTTAGCCACGGAAAATTCAGTTTGATTTGGTGAATTTAGAAAATGTTGAAAACAGTATTTGATTGTTCAAGGATAACCATTCTTCGAACTGGCAGTGGGTGTAGTGTTCTATACAAATACAGAGACAAGATGCCATCATAAGAGACGACTGAAGCTTGTCCCCCATAGAATCGGGATTTGTGGACGTTTCTAGTGCAAGAAGGTACAATTTGTATATCATTTTCATCGCCTTGCGTGACCTTTCAGTTCACTCATTTTCCACCTCACGACCGGTATGTTTTGATTGTGTCTAATTTCCGTCAAACAAACAGAGATAGAAACAATGAAAACAAGTATCTGAAAATAAATTTCACCTTTGTGTCATATGGTCATTGGGGAGAGGAATTTCCTTAACTGTCAGATTGATTTACATTGTCAATTTAATCTATTTCATATATAGGTATCAGATCTGACAATAACGTGGAATCTCAGTATCGTAATATCTAAATGCCACAGGATGATCGAGGTTCTGATCTCACCATTACACCGTAATATCATAAACAAAAGTTTTTTTTATCATTAGTGACATAGTGTACATAGACACACATATTGAAAGATGTTGTTTGATTTTCTCGTACAACGTAGCTTAATCAATTGATGTACATCTGTGTTAATTAGATATAAAATAACGTACCTGATTATGGCAGCAACATGTTTCCGCTCTGCCACAGCCCCTTCTTCACTTCCGACTACCTCTCGATAAGTTATAGTCTGGTTGTCAAAAGAACGCACTTCAATATATAAATATGTGCCAAAATCAAGTGTCTGAGTCGGTACTGCCCTCTGCATACTAATCGATCCAATCCTAAAAGTTAAACCGGATTTGTGGCGGAACAAGTAGGCTGAAAGATTCTGTGTAATACACTTAGGTCTCATATATATACATATACAACTATAATTCTACATTTGTCATAATGTTAACTCTAACAGCGCATTAGGCCTACGTATGTTAAATACATCCTTCCCCGCTGATCTTTACCTATACCCAACAGTCTAAGGACATTTTATTGGGTGATGAACTGTCTGCGTCTCTTTTGTTAAACATTTTGATTAAGGTTCGGACAACTTACGCTATACGGATATTGCAAATGTAAAACAAAGCGGAGCACTACGATTCGAGCAGATATTGAACGCTTTATGTCTTTACAAAGTAAATAAAACCAGGCATTTTATTTGATCAGACATGCAAACATTGAAGTGCTTTTGTATCGTCTCCGTGAATTTATTGTGAAACAGATTTGAACTAACCCGTGTGCTACTAAGGTTGACATTATAACAGTAGGGGTATTTTATCAAACGGGTGAAACTTAAACTGTTAAATGTCGCTTAAACCTGCCTCGTCGCCAGACTACAGATGAATGATTACGTGATGGGCAAACACTCAATGCACTTTCTTGTCGCTTGTGTGGAGTTTTTCTTATGTAAATTTATATCAAAACGATATCAATCATTTCTGATTTCCAATATATGTGCAGTCACTGCCTGCCTTAGACTCAGCTTGATTTGTAAAGTACGTGCGGGGTGTAGAACGAGTCCCATACAAACACGTGCTATAATTAACAGCTCGTCTGTCACTGTGTGACCTGTTGTCGTATGGTTCTACAGTGCTATCCAATATACCTTGACAACTTCATTACTTTTCTACAGAAGGAATGTAATTAGGATGCATAATGTCATAAAGTAGATACCAGTTACACAATAATTCTATTTAAAAATATGCATAAGTCAACTTTGTTATTACGAACTTTGATATCACGAATTATTATTCATGTTGATGTCGGTTTATATAGATTTCGACTGGAATATTTGCTTTTACGTTTGGTTTAAAGTCGTTTATGATCTTGTTTTTTTTGTGTAACATTTTACTTGTTTATTATCAAAGATAAGTATTACACTTGTATTTACTATCACAGACAGATATTTCACTTGTATTTATTATCATAGACAGATATATTTCACCTGTTTTTAGTATGACAGAGGGGTACCACACTTGTACCTAGTATCACAGACATATATTACACTCGTTTTCAGTATCACAGACAGGTATTACACTTGTATTTACTATCACAGACATGTATTACATTTGTTTTTACTATCACAGACTGTGAGGCAGATATTACACTGGTATTTAGTATCACAGACAGGTATTACACATGAGTTTACTATCTACACATGTATTCACCATCACAGACAGATATTACACTGGTATTTACTATCACAGACAGGTATAACACCTGAATTCACTATCACATACAGATATTACACTTGTTTTTTACTATCACAGACTGTGAGACAGATATTTCACTGGTATTTACTATCACAGACAGGTATTACACATGAGTTTACTATCACGAGACAGGTACTACACATGTATTCACCATCACAGACAGATATTACACTGGTATTCACCATCACAGACAGATATTACACTGGTATTCACTATCACAGACAGATATTACACTGGTATTCACCATCACAGACAGATACTACACTTGTTTGATTTTGTTTTGTTTTCTGTTCATAATTTTGCTAGTTGTCACCATCGGTACCACATTGCGGTAATGTCATATGGAGCATTAACAAATACCATTATAATAAGCTTATAATCTATGGTAAAGTGACTACCAACAAATCGAAATAATAAGTCTATGACAAGAAGCTCCAAAGATACGTTTGAGAAATCTGTTTTCGAATATTGCATGGTAACGATAAAACTTTGAACTTACAGGTCAGATAGGTGATAGTCAGTAAAACAACACACGCATTTCACTGTGTGGATTGCGGAACGATATAGGAATTAGATTTGAACCAAACGGTTCGACAATCTTAATCAAATTATGGTTCCACAAGTGGGTTTTTTCTTTCAAAATCGACACATTACCTTCAGTGAATAAATGTTGATTACCTGTTGTGAGATCGTTTCTGAATAACTGTTAATATAATAATAGGATTACGTCATATTGAAGTGATAGGAATTACTGAATTAAACACAAGCAGTATTTTACAACGCGATAGTAAAACTATAAGCTATGGGGGAAACCATTGTTTGTAAGTTTGGTATCCAGGTAATGACATCTCAGAATATCATTATGTAACAAAAAATATGTTTTAATAAGATTGACGTTAAACTGTAAACCGACTGGACAAAGAGGGTAATATATATAACTAATTGACAATTATAGTTGTGCGTTCCCGAGGGAAATTTGTGGTTCTGTGCAATTCCTTGCGTTAAGCTTACTGGAGTTATCTCCCTTCAAAATGTTATTCATAGGCACTTAAATGATATACCGAAAAGACCAAATGTGGTAGTTTAAAGAGATAGACATGAACAGTAATACATTTGGTACGAGAAGCCCTTTGTCTTATACAGTATATATAGATAGATTAATCATGAAATATAACCCTGGATCGAGAGTTATTCTTACGACAGACTAATATGAAAATATCACTGTGAGCAGATATAAAAAGATGTAACAATGGAAATAAGAATAACAGGGACGGATCCAGAATTTTTCAGGGTGGGGTGGGGGGNCCAGATTTCCAGTTTATTTTGCGATCTATATCTACATCTTTCTTGATTTTGTTTTTCTTCTCTTGTTTATTAGTATGACTATAATCACGGAATTAGATTTTATCTAAGTCCATGATATAACTAATGTATTCATTTAATTTTGAATTGTCCTTCATGCAAACGTAACACATGTGCTAAGTGGCTACTACGGACCACCGACAATACAGGTAAAAAGTCTGTATCATGGTCCGCTGACCAATTTACTTGATGCTGGGCCCGGAGTGCACGTGGTGATATCAATTGGTGTCAACACCGAGTTTAAACCTGTTGGAGTGGGGTGGGAGGGTGTGGTGCTTGGACTGTGTGATACACAACTATTGAATCACCAGTCAGGAGTAAAAAAATCATTGAAGAAACAAATTAAGTCCAGGGCAGAGGGGTGTCATCTGCGCTGGTGAATAAGAATAAGAAACAAAATGCACATCAAAACTGAAATTAAAAAATATATTTACATGGTTAGAAACATGCAGGAAATAACATGCTGATAAATATATCAGTTAAGTTATATTTTAAAGTTCCAGGCAAATACAAGGCTGAACACACTTACAATGTAACTATTATCAATGTAACAGGTAAAATAAAATAGTACACCAAGATTGTGAAATGTGATTTAGAGAAAATTTTAATTAGTTACACTTTCAAAACTCAAATAAATATAAAATTAACTAAAGTAAAAAAATATTAAAGTAGAAAAATAAAGCACAGCACATTGGGACTGCCTATGAAATCAAAGGATATCGGACTGTTGACGGAAAAAGTGTCTTGATGATAGATGTTTCGCGTTATTTTATTAAGAACTATTCAAATCGTTATTAACTCAATCATAATATCTAAGGAGGAACTACCGTAATAAGTTTTCCGGATATTCTTTTCCTACAGTAGTGTTCACCTGTGGTGCGATTCGCGCGCCATCTTCAACTTCCGGCAAACGTCGTCCAACGTGCGTGCCCTGAAATTGTGCCGGTTCCTAGTCGTTTTACCGATTTGTACAAACAAAACCGCTGCATTCACATTCAAGACTAGGCTGTACATGAGGTTTGTTTTCCAATGTCGATGCGTCGTGACAGAAACGAATGATGTATGTCTGATATTTTTTTAGAAATGAGCAAGAATGAAGCGTAACTGCTGACAAAGCCCCCCCCCGCTTTTGTTTTGTCGTCGTATTTATATTTCACTTGATGGTCTCAATTCAATCGTATCTATGGTCATTACTCGATATTGTTTAAAGCAGCAAACATAATTCGTTTCATAGTACCCTTTTCTGAGGTTTCTTTTCCTAGTTCGAGAATTTGACAGATCTATATCAATATATAATCTTCAATCCTTGCCATTCATTCCATCATAAGTGAATTGAATTTATGTAAATCCGTTAAATGAGAATAAAAGTAGCCATAGCATGCAACTTATTGATCATTGCAATAATATTTTTATATTTGATTTTCAGAAAGAATGGACATTCGGCCAAATCAAACCATTTACATCAACAATCTGAATGAGAAAATCAAGAAAGATGGTAAGCATTACAAACAAGCCTCTTCAAGTGACAACAAGTGTCACCATAATAAATCTTTAAAAATTCCAAATAAAGTAAGCGACATCAGAAGATATGTTGTTAATATGCCTCTATACCAAATTTCAATTGAATTTTTATGATCGGTGATGCGGCACAGGATGTGCGTATTGACCTGTACAGTTAACAAAGCGTCACCAGACAAAATCTTTGAAAATACTTACTACAGTAAGTGACAACAAGTGATTGATAATAAAATGAAGTTGAATGCAGGATGTAAACCTATAGCTACGTAAGCAGCTGTTATGCAAAGATGATGTGGAAAATCAAAATCTAGCTAATTGCAACTACAAAGCTTATTCAACAACTATTAGTGGTTATTTATCATAAATTATATCAAGTCATTTGGATAAATTTGAAGATATTTTGATCTCATAAATAGTCATAATAATGTAACACAAGGTTATTTCACACTTAAATTAGCTAAAAGATAGGGGGCTTGAATAATTTGAATTCAAAGATCAAACCTGTATCGGGTCAAAAACAGGCAGCAGCCCAAAATGTAAGTTCAGTTCTGATTTTGGCCTGTTCAAATTACCTATTTCTTATCGTTCTGATATATAATTTTACAAAAGTGTGTCAGTTAAAAAAGTCATTTGGGCTGTTTGAATAGAAGTTACTGAAAAGCCTGCTACACACCCATAATATATTGTTATTTGAGAACTTTTTATGCTACAATGGTATCTGAACCTTGTTTTTTTAACTTTTTTTCAGACCTCAAGAAATCCCTCTATGCCATTTTCTCCCAGTTTGGACAGATTCTGGACATCGTAGCCATGAAGACACTGAAGATGCGAGGACAAGCGTTTGTTATATTTAAGGATATAAGCAGTGCGACAAATGCTATACGATCAATGCAGGGATTCCCTTTCTATGACAAACCAATGGTAAAATTTATGATAATTAAATTGAACTGCCCGGTGCTTTGAGAGCTTGATGGTGTCGTTCAAACTGTTTGACACTTTAAACTCACTAGGTGGTATGACATGCATTGATTGTTGTTGTTTTCATGCTCCAGATCGGTACTATGTTTGTGTCGTATGAGTTATCTGTAAGAAAACTTCTAGTCCCACAATCATGATTAAATGTGACTGACACACTGGTATTTAGCTTATCAAGCTTAAACATGGTTCGCACAGGTCTTGAAAACCCTTGAATTTGATGATTGTCTTGAAAAACCCTTGAATTTGATGATTGTCTTAAAAAAACCTTGAAAATGACTGTAAGCCTTGAAAACCCCTTGAAAATCAATGGGAGTCCTTGAAAAATCCTTGAAATTCAGAGAAGTTAGTTGGGTATACGTTTCTGTCATGTTAATTCAGTATTTTGTAAACATTCGTCACAAACAATAATTATTTTTAACACAGATTGATCGTCAAATTGCAGATCGTAAATTTTAATAATTCCGGAAAATATGTACCAATGAAGTTTCCGGTTTTACTTTTTCAATTTGTATCATTACTGCGTTTGAAATGAGTAAGTCTCATAGTTAAGCGCCAAAGTGACTGACGGTCATGCGCATTAAGAGTATTGTTAACATGAGGGTAACACGAACGCAAGTGTGTTTTAAACCGCAAATGGCTTCACGATCCCAGATTGTTTTGGGTGATGGAGTTAAAGGGTGATAGGAGTCTGACTTCTGCTTTGTGCTCGCTGTGTAACAGAATTATCAATCTCGGCAAGATTGGGGAATGACCTTACATCACATATAAAAGTCAAAAACACGTTAATTTTTTTCGGGGACCGCTTCCACTCGGCCTTTGACACTTTTTTAACAAACCTTCTACTTCAATGGTAAGTACATCGAGACCTACATCGACTGTTCCTAATCCAAATCCGAACACGGATGCCGATGACTTTCCGTCAATACCAGCCCCTCAAGGCCTTGTTGTTCATTAAAATCGTTTGTTTATTTTTCAAAATTTGTCTTGAAAAAACCTTGAGAATTCCTTAAATTTTGAGGTCAAAAGTTTGTATGAACCATGTTAAACTTAGTACATATATGGTTTGGGCCTTTTTTGGCCCCCAAATCCATCAAAATTAAAAATCTGCAAGAGAACTTTCAAACAAATGTTTCTTCAATTTTGAATACTTTCCCAGTGCTATTATGTTAACATTTATTTGTGTTTTCAGTTTTGGCTGCCAATGCTGCCATGGTAACCAGGTCATATTTGCATAAATTATTGAAATTTGATTATTCAGTCAATTTTGACAGGTTTTCACCTAGTTTTTCTCTTAGCTACCATAGAGCGCACTCTTAAACAAACTTTATATTTCTCCTAAAGATGTATTACAGGTGCCTACACATTATCCTTTGATATTAATATAAGTTTGTTCAAACATGCGCTCTATAGTTTCTAGGAGGTAAACTATGCAAAATATCACAATATTCACTGAATATTTTTTCTCTCTATTTTATGCAAATTTAAACTTGTTATCATGGCAACAATAATTAGAAATATAAATAAATATTTTCATAATAGTATTTGGGAAGTATTCAAAATTAAAGAAAGTAATTTCAAAGTTCATTTAAAAGTTTTTAATTTTGATGTATTTGGGGGCCAAAACAGGCCCAAACCATGCATAGTCCTTTGATAAATAATTGCCACGTTTAAGAAACATGAATATGTCCCTTTTTAACAATAACATATAATTATTTAAATCAATACAATGGTTGTCTTAACATTTTTTAAGAACTTGACATTTCTTATTCACTTGCTTTGTTTTCATTACAGAGAATACAATACTCCAAGAAAGACTCTGACATCATCGCTAAAATAAAGGGCACATTTGTTGAGCGACCAAAGAGAAAGAAGGAAGAAGAAGGTGAAGTAGCAAAGAAAACAAAGAAAAAGAGTGCTGCACAAAAGTAAGTTTTCACTAGAGATATATAGTTAAAACAAAATCTAAAATAGTCAGTTATTGAGTGACTTAACGCAATCAAATTTTGAGTGGTTAAATACATACTTCGAAGGGAGCCCCAAGGTCACAAGGCAGCACTGGAAATAAGAAATTAGTGCTACAAGAAGATACTGATCAACTTGTTAAGTTATGCAGTGATTTTCCAATGCTGTTGAGCATTCACATTCAGTTTTTGCAGTACTCCTTCACAGTTCACTGACATAAATTGTATTTGTTTGTGTTTTGACAGACAAGCAGCTGCTCCAGCTTTGCCTCAGGTACAACCTGTCCAACAGATGGCTCCACAAGTCCAGCCTGGTAGGTCTTAACTGAACTTTGTATAACGTGGAAAACGGGTCATAGTTTCAAGAAAATATTCATCTTATATGTAAATCTTCTCGGCTCGGAGATTAGATTATCAATTTAAAAAATCAAAGTTATTGTGAAACTACGGTTTAAATTAGAATTTTCCAAAGCAAAATTTTGTCTTCTATTTACAATCTCTGGAAACAGTTCAATCAAACTTAGTTTATTAGGAAATTTTGCTTCTATTAATCAGATTTTATTTTGGGATGGGCACTTCATGAAAATTAAAGTCATTATCAAGGAGAATTAGTAAAAAAAAATCGAGTCAGGGGAGACAAAAAGAAGTTAAGAAGAAGAGTTTAAGCTTTATTAACTACCTTTAACCACAAACAGCTGTGTTTCCTTATAATGTGTGACAGTTTTTATGAATATATATTAATGTGATTTTAATTTTACAATTGAATGTAAATCTATCTTACATTTGTTTACATGTTAACTGATGTTCTTTGTGTCGACAGCCGCCGCTGCCCCACCAACAACTGCTGCCCCAACGTCAACGGCTATACCAGAACAACCACCCAACCAGATCCTGTTCTTGACCAACCTGCCAGAGGAAACCAACGAAATGATGTTGTCCATGTTGTTCAACCAGTAAGTTACCTATCAATAGTTGTTTGCTATGGACCATACATCTTGACAATTTCTTTTCTGGAGTATGGTTTTCAAATTAAGACACTAACCTACATAAAATCTTTTAGAGTTAGAACAAATGTTCCCTGTACAAGTATTCAGTTCTACTGAGCTACACAATTCTGATACCACACAGGTAAACTATAATTCCTTTAATATGCATTGCTTTTTATACTTTTACTCTTATTGTCCCCTTAGAACCTTTCAAAACGTTGTATTGAAATAGAAATGGCCATGTAGATAATTGTATTGCGTATGATATCATATGTAAGAACAAAATAAGTGTTACTAGTCCAATTGACTAATCCATTTTGATCATCCTTGTAGATTTCCAGGATTCAAGGAAGTGCGTTTAGTGCCAGGTCGACATGACATTGCATTTGTTGAATTTGAAAATGAGGTTCAATCTGCTGCGGCCAAGGATGCTCTACAGGGCTTCAAGATCACACCCAGCAACGCAATGAAGATTTCGTTTGCAAAGAAATAGAAAAAGAAAAAGGACAAATTGGTGCAAACAATTGTGTGTTAATGGTGTGTGCATGAATGTGTTAGACAGCGACGTGTGAATGCAGTGTTAGAAAATGAAATTAAGAATTCTGTTTATGGACGAATCTAGTTTAATAGCTTCTCAAATCAGGGATGTCTTCATTTGAAAACAAAATTTTCAACTCGAACATAACTTGTTTTAAAACTACTACATTTGTGTCTTTGAATATTTGCAGATCAAATCTGCTTACTTCTACTTCAGACAGATTTGTTTTTCAGTATCAGGATAATATTTGTGCACTCTGCTTTACCCAGTACGGCTATTAAAAGGTATAATTCCTCCAACTGAAATGCAATTGTTTTGAGAACAAAAAGTGAATCAAATAGAAATTTTATGATACATATTTTGGTTTGAATTATGAATTTTTAAATGTCTTCCATTGCATTACAACAGATATAATCAGCAATCATCTTTTTTATACATATTTCAGATATCATTGTCCGTTTATTTCATTTATTCTCTTCAATCCAGCATTGCATTTTAGCTGGTTGTTTCCATTTTTGATTTTGGATACAATTTGTTTTTGTACAGTGAAACCTGTTTGTTTTGGACATGCCTAGTAATAATCATGTTTTAATACATGACTTTGTGAAAATCTTTGTACAGTTGTAGTACTAGGGCCATAGAACAGAGGATGTGAAACACTATTTCGTTAGTTAGCTGGCAAGTACCCTATTCTGATGTCTCCTCCTCCTCTCAGAAGAGCTATTGTCATCTAGATGTCGCGGCTAAACAGGTATCACTGTCATTATACAGCATTGCACACAGGCTGTTTCCTTGTTGACCTCCGGCATTGCACCAGGCCGGTACTGTTGTTGTATTTGATGGCCGTGTTGTGCTGGACATTACCAGGTATCCCTAGCCTTGCACCCTAGTCGGGGGTGTCTAGTAATGTACAGACGACATTGGGTCACAAGACTACTAATAAATGTGAAACAAAAACATCACCTTTTTCGTGTTTTTCCTCAATAGTCCATCAAGATGATACATGGTATTATGTGTCTGTCTATTCTTAAATAGTATTCTCATCCAGATCGTGGCATCTTATACATGCATTATTGACATACTAGACAAAGAGTCAGGGTCACAAATTGTGGTCAGAGTTTGAGTCGCTTTGATTTTATAATGTCTTAACTAGAAATTTCATACCTTTATGCATTACTTCATTATAAGTAAAATTCTTAATGAATTTTTAGCATTGAGAAAAACAATGTACATTTGTGTGTCAATCTGCCAATAATAAGAATTGAACATTTTGACAATATTTATCAATATCAAACTATTTATATGGTTCATTTAGATAAAACAATAAATTTAGTATTAAGACTCAAAACTACACTATGAATATGCAGATAGAAGGATGATTAAAAAAAGAGTTATTTCCCTTTGGCAATAAGCCTTTAAAATTGGGTACTGGCCATCAAAGGATGACTAAAAACGATCCTGTTAAGGTCAGGAAATTGTGTGAAAATTCATAACATTCTTTTCAATTAACTTTTGCAATAATATACTGAAAAAAATTTGCTTCAAGGCAGTTAAAACATCCTTTACAACTTGGAAACTCTATCTGTAGAAAAAAAATGGATCTTACTGATTTTGTGCTTTCCCACATATTGAAAGATATTAAAAATACATTGTCATTATCATTATAAGTGGTTCATAGCCATCCTCGTTACTCCAGAGGTTTCACACACTTTTGCTCTCTGCACCCCTGGACTAGGTCATATCAAAATCGAAGACTGCGGCTGCCTTGTGGATGAGACGAGAAGACTGCGGCTGCCTTGTGGATAAGACGAGAAGACTGGGTTGATTTTTTGATGTATAACAAAAGATTCTCGCCCTCATGTAGCAGTAAAATTGATTGATTTTGAAGTCGGGTGTTTCTGTGGCTCCACTGTAATCTTCAAAGGACAGGTTGCTTTTAGAGATCCATATAGTCTAGATTAATGAGATTCGGCTTGTTGTTTTCTTGGTTAAATGTCTATAAAGAATGTTCAAATGAATTTCCTTGATCCATTTTCAAGAGTGCAGAAGTCAAATTTCTTGTTTTAAATACCTTTAGGGTGTGAGTAACAATATTTGTCCTATAGGTTGTTTAAGCAAAGGGCTATCAAGTATTCAAACGAATGACTTGGCATATTTTCAAGGTCAAATGTATTAATACATAATTTTTTTTTAAATTCCTATAAAGATCTATGCGGTCTAGAGTAATAGTATTTGGCTATCAAGCTTAAGTGAGTGAATTTGGTCACGGAAGTGGTGTTAAAAAGCATATTTTGAGCTATGCAGGAACATTGAGCCTCTTGTTTGGTGATGATTTGTGATAGTCATACATTTGAGTTACTGTTGGAAGTTTTGTGTTTATTCACATCCAGGTGGAATGAGGTGTGATGAGAATTTATCTGATGGACCTTTTCTCTAGATCACTCCTATTTGGCTTTATGGAAACATTTTCTAACAATGTACATTTTGTTGTTGCAATAATGCGAGTTTAACAGCATTTATTTATTGATTATTTTGTTTACGAGGTTATTGAAAATGAATGGGGAAAGGATGGTAAAAGATGATAAAAATTAGGGGACACCCGGGTTCGAACCAGGGACCTCTCGATCTGCAGTCGAATGCTCTACCACTGAGCTATATCCCCCTTGATTGTTTCACGACAAATAAAATTATTTATAGACAGTTGAAATTACTGTTATTATTTTGCTTAACTACAAGCTACATTTAAGAAAATCCGTAATAAGTATGTCACCAGAAAGCAGATTATACTACTGAGAGAACTATTAACAAAGCCTACTGAATGCTGACGTGGCATCAATATATTAAGCCAAAGTGGGCGTGTCTCGAAGAAAACTACTCCACAACTACGAGTTATCCCCCTTACTCTGTGTGTTTAAAGCTTCGCCGTGAAGTCACCAAAATATTTTAAACGGGAAGAACTGTGTATTGTAACCTTTTGTGATGCATCTGTGCAGTCAGAGGCGACCTTCAAATATGTCTGACCTGTAGGCCCATGGCGATTCCCTGGTGCTAATTTCTTTTTGGTACACATCTTTCCAAAAATATTTACTCTTTATTTAGAATGTATATCTTTAAGTGCATGTGATGTCATCTAGTGAACTGATAAAAGTGTTCAGCGTATTATTTTATCATTTAACATTAATTACAACATCATTAAGAATTACATCAAGAAACAATCGCAATTTGGTTAACTCGAGTATCGTTCTATATATTCGCGTTCCATTTCAAAAACCTAAACAAGACATCATGCGGATTAAAATAAAACTACTTTTAATATTTAAATTGCCGATAATTTTACAATACTTAATTCATTTTAGGCATGTGGCGATATTCATCCAGTTCATATTAAAACATGTTAAAATGGTTGAATAAAATGTAAATACATTATTTAATAAAAATAAAATCGGAATAAAGATAAACCTGTTATTGTGACATTCTATTTTTTGTTGTTTTGAGGAATGTTCGTGTCTTTTAAATACATAAAATGTCAATGCACTGCATATTAATTAAACTAAATGGGATATTCATGTATCACAGATATGACAAGGCATTAAATCATTGATGCATGGCATTACCTAACAAAACATACCATTGTTAAAAGTTGCACTAGTTCAAGGGCAATGCAGACATGCTCATTAACTCATTCACCCCTGAAGACACATTTGAACTCTTCCAATTCAAAGGCTGGAATAGTTAATTATGAAATTTCAGGGGTGAATCAGCTAACAAAGCACGTGTAGCATTTATGTTTGTTTTGTATGAAGAACTTCAATCCACTTATAATGCTTTGATTTACAGTTTGTCCGCTATTACTGAACAATGTATCAGTCAAATGCTGAAGTTATACCTGTCGAGTCAATTCATTAAGGACGTGGAATGAAATATATATTGTACCTTATTCTAGTGCAGGTATGATTCCAATTCACATAAACATTAATTAATACAATTAGCGAAATGATTAAAATATACACGGTCATTTAGTTACCATATGATTTATTACTGTAGCAATAACGTTTTACCGGTCACGCGTTGTATTAAATCACAGAAATAGATCGGGCCTCAATGTTCCCGAAGTTAACTGTAGTTCTTTTAATGTTTCCATAGGTGAGCATTATAAGAGTTAATACAAACTGTTGTCAGACTACGGCCAGGTGTATCACTGAACACTGTATGAAACTCTTTTTCGATTATCGTTATAATTAAAATCTTTCTTATATATATAGGACCGCTATTATAATGGTTACAGGTGATACAGAAAAAATGGCTGCTCTCGATGATTTTGTAAACATAGTCATACATAAACATACAAAGGAATACATGTTTAAATTCATTTATCAAAAGACTGCCATTTTCTACGAATGCTGCCATCCCAAACATTTTGAGATTTATGCCATTTTATAAAACCCTAGTGTGACTTGACGTCATGTGACGTAGCAGTGATGACAAAAATCATACTCGTCAAAAATTGCGACGTCGAAGATTTCACGATGGTCCGAGAAAACGTTTCTTTTCGTAGATATCATTAACTCGAGGGAAAAGCGATAAAAACATATTGGATTTGTTTGAATTTCATACTGATATTTATGAATCTTGTTCAAAGTTTTGTTTTCTAGCCCAAGAGAGAGCGTTGCTGAAATGAAAACACCTGTATTTGTTTCGTAAATCTCCCATGGAACAGAAATTCATTTAAATTCCCGCAATATACATTTTACAACCAACATGCGACATCACTTTTGATTGTTTTCACCGCTAATAGAATTCAAGTCATTATTCTAAATTGTACAGACGAAAAAAAAATGTTTACGTTGAAAAGTTCATGTTCCTTTTGTGTTTTATAAACATAATATCCCTACATAACATTTTATTTCATGCTTTATCTACATAATGACACCGTAATTAATTTAATAATTTAATACAACAATAACATGTTTTCCTAGTTATCGCGCGACGGTTAAACATATGTATTAAAATAATTAAAAATATTGCTACCACATCCTATAACATGTTTTGTCATTGGGTTGTAACATATTTTTAAATGTGTAATTAAGTTAACGAATGTTGATACACATGCGTCTCATTAGTGTACAGCAGGTGGTCGTAGTTACGTTATATACGGACATGTCATTTTCTACCTGCCCCGTACTTCCTACCTGTACGTCAGCATGGACTGGGAGCGACAGCTAATTGTTTATCTAATAGGCCACGGAATTAGATTAGATTGCTATCCAAGTCCGTTGATAAACAAACGTCATACCATCACTTAACCAAAACAACGTTATTTTTTTTGTAGGCTGTTTATATCTTTATCAGCCGATGGTAAAGATAATTTATTAAGAGTGGTTGAAAATATTTAACTCATATATATCATTACATGTAATTGATGAACGGTATTTAAAGTTGTTATTGGCTGTTGTCTGTGTATTGATGGGGGCACAATACACCCATCAGATACATACACCTATATATCAATGTTCATATGTGTTACCGCATGTCAAGCCGGTTAAAGAAATTAGTGATACATGTATTGGACGATAACTTTTTGTTTTCAAAAAGCAGATTAGTTTGTATTGAAAAAAATAAAGTAATAGGCTGAATAAATGACTTTGAACAAGGAAAGGAACCTAGAATTTCGAAAAATAATATTTTTTTGGCCACAAAGGAAGAACTACTCTCCAGTGTGAATACAAGATGGTGTTAAAACTTGTTCTTATTTCTTCTGTTGTGCTAGCGACAGAAAGTTCAGTGTATTGCAGTACATGTACTTATCTATTGTCAGATATTTCTTCATAATACCGATTATTTTGACCTGTCTTACGTAAATAATCAACCTTACACCGTATCCAAAATAAAACGACCGTATATAGTAGGTTGTATATCGTCGTTTCACTGAAAAGGATAAGTTCTAAGTCACATGTTGTATA